GCCCCACAGGAACTGGAACCATAAGAACCAGCCCCACAGGAACCAGCTCCACAAGAATCAGCCCCACAAGAACCAGCCCCACTGGAACCAGAACCACAGGAACCAGCCCAACAGCAACTGGCCCCCCAGGAACCGGAACCACAGCCACCAGAACCACAGGAACTGGCACCACAGCAACCAGTCCCATCCCTGCCACAACGATGGGGACCAGACCCACATCGATGACGTACACGGGCGGATTGACTACGAAGAGCGGACAGAGCCGCACCTTCACCTCTGTCAGTCTGCTGTTTGGATCAGTTGTTCTTCATGGACTTTGGCAGTGAGTTCCCTCTTGAGGCCCAGAGCTGGAGTGAGTCTTAAACTACAGTACTGTTGAACACATTGTAAATCTGAGTTCCTTCTTAGACGATTTGTGATTGAGGAAATACACCATAGCAGTTGTGTTGACCTTTGGATCAACCTGTGTGTGTGTGTGTGTGTGTGTGTAATTGTATAATTATTTGTACATTAGTATAAGTATTTGCTTTGTCCTGGTGTGTTGAAAAAAACAATAAACTGAATAGAATAAACAGAATAAAAATAATTATACACGTCTTCTGGTCCATATAAGAAAGCATTCTGAAATGATTTCAGCTTATAGCGGCATGGCGCTTTATCCTGGTGGAAGATGTAGCCGTCAGATGATAGCTACGCTGTGGTCATAAAGGGATGGTCATGGTCAGCAACAAGACTCAGGTAGGCTGAGGCGGATGCTCAATTGGTACTGAGGGTCCCAAAGTCTGCCAAGGAAATATTCCCCCGCACCATTACAACCCCACGTCCAACCCACAATTTTCCTGTAGTTAAATGACAGGAGTGACAGTCGGTGTGGCTGCTTAGCCCTTCTGCTTCAAGGTTCCAGCGTGTTGTGCGTTCCGAGATGCTCTTCTGTATGCCTCGGTTGTAAAGACTGCTTATTTGACTTACTGTCACCTTTTATAACAGCTCGAACAAGTCTGGCCATTCTCCTCTGACCAGAGAAAACACGCTCACTGGATATTTTCTCTTTCTCTGTAAACACAAGAGATGGTTGATGCTTGAAAATCCCAATAAATCAGCAGTTTCTGAAATACCCAAACCTGTCTGGCACGTTCAAAGTCACTTTAAAAACATCAAGTACACTGAGGGTTTTTTTTTCTGTCTATTTTAAGCATTCTTCCGGGAATGGAATCTTAACAATGACCTTTATCCTGAAACTTAAGCTGTGCACATGAGGAAATAATATTTTAACTTATCAAATTGTCAATTATCTACCAGGAGGAAAGGGGATGTATTCACATTTCAATTCATCTCTTCACGATTACTGCATCCTTTTAACTGGCCATAAATGCACACCAATCTGATTAATATAATGACGTGAAGCTATGTAAGTACAGGGAAGGTTGTATAGAAGCCGTTCACATCCATTATAGTTAAAAATTAAACCAGATGAGGAAGTGAGGAAGTGAGGAAGTGATCCGAATATTTTCCATCATTGTGAAAAATTCCCCTTCGAAAAAACTAGAATATATTTAATATGTAATGTTTACTAAAGTTGCCAGGTGCTCTAAAATGCACACTAGTGGATTTGAGTTTGGGGTCAAAGAAGATGAGCAGTCATTGAGGGGTTAGCTGGAGGGGCTTGTTATTATATTTTAAGAATTCATACTTCCTTATAACAGACCAGTGTCATAAAAACTGTGAAGCCTGAGTGTTTGATTGCTGTAACTTAACTATAGTTTTCTAACTTCGGGAACACATGTCATGACGATGGTGAGCACTTATTAGTGCAAAGATTACATAGAGGCATGCCTCTCACACACACCTCCCCAACCAACTTGCTTGACCAGGTCATACTGTACGTCATAAATTCACCCCTACCCTTCCTGGAACGAGATGTTTTTGTATAAAAGCAGGAACAAAAAGTTTCATCTCAGTTTTCCAGAAGAAAGTAGGAGTAGACCAGGTACCAGTGGAGGAACTGCCACTGCACTATACAAACACATCAGCCTGCCTCCTGTGCAATAGGACATTTTCAGCAACATTTCTGGTGGAACTCTGCATCCTTTTGACTCTCCACCATGAAGATATTGGCTCTGGGATTTTGCCTACAGACTCTGCTGGCATTCAGAAAGGTAATTCTTTACAAAGTTCTTCAAGAAAATATGCCAAAACACTTTACTATCCCTGTAAAGATTATTTTTTTTGCAGTTTGCACATAAGAAGTAACTGGTAAATGATTATTCTTGCATTAAAAACCTTGGCAAAGTCAGGTAGTGGTTGAGTCATCCATGCAGATTTGTCCCATTGTCCTGAAAAGGTTCGATATGTTTTCCATGTTGGTCAATAGGTCGTGTACAGCCATCAAATGTTTATTATACTGCTCTAATAGCAATAGAAACCTGCTTTATGTAATTGTTGTGCAAGTAGTCAAGACAAAACAGATGATGATGATTATTTGAGTGCTGATGGAATAAAGCCAATGCATTCACTGGAATTGCAGTTTAAGACAACATTATAACTGAAAACAAGTAAAAAACGAAGAAGTCTCTAACACAATGACTTGGCTAAATCATATTCAGAGATGGATAGATTGTAACTATGGAAAGTATTGTTGGTATTCATTGTAGCTTTTATTCGTAACACTGACCTAAATCATTTTTCAACTCTATTCCCAATCAGTTTCCAGTTGGAGCAACGACCACAACTCCACCTGTTTCTATTCATACAACAACTGCTGCCCCAACCACTACTGCAAGTGATCCGACCACAGCAACAACCACTCCCCCAACTACGTCTTCAACTCCTGCTCCAACCACTCATGCAAGTCCGACCACGGCAACAACCACTCCCCCAAC